ATTTTCTGCACACTTGTTTTAAAAACAGGTTTATTTGTCATAAAAAGGAAAAGCAGTCTACTTCTGCTAAAATGAAAACTGAAAGAAAAACTTTAATGACAAGTGTGTTTCATGTCATTTTTAAATAGCAGTAGTTTCATAATGACTTCCATAGAAATGTCAACTCAAATCAAATTCCATACTACTACATTCACAAGTTTATGAATGCCAAAGTTATATTAAAGGAAATTTCTCAAGTATTAATTACTATATACACAATATAATGATAATATAAAATAAATTGTATAATTATAGTCTACCGGTTGACTTTTTTTATGTCTAATATTAACATCAACATTAACCTGACTCAAAATTAATAATCCAGTGCCCACGCTGATCAATATGGCATCATGAGCATTTCAAAACAGCAGCATAACTCAAGAAAATGAAGCATGCCTGATTAAATGCAATAAGGTTAATGGTGGAAAGATGTCAGCATTTTTAAAAGTGTGCCAGACCCTTCAGTACCATTCATGTGCAATTCATTCATAAAGTATGTCATGCACTGGAAGGCCCAGTCATAAAGTTGTTTTCCACATACACCCAAATTAACAAACAGTATATCTGTGCCATGTACACAGAAAATGGAAATAATAGATTGATAAAACATTCAATATTTGTATCTCTTTTGGATACTGATATGTCAATATCAATATGAGCATGTCAGTTCATAACATCAGGCCACACAACGTCTCGTGCCTCACACAGCAGTTCGCACAGTCGAACCTAAAATCCACATTTGATTCTCAGAAGTCTGTCATGCAGGACCAGACGCGTTTGGCACCTGGAAAATTGTGTTTTTGTCTGCAGTTTATGCAATAACCCAGAATCTTACATCCAAATCTCGTGCAGCAGGTCTCCCGAATAGACACCGAGTGACCAACAGATGCAACTTGAACGTCTTGTAGCGCATCACCGCCAAGAATCAATCGAAAAACCGGATAAATGCAGCACAAATCTGCAGGACTAGCTTTTCTAATGCCAAGACAGAAAAGCAAAGTAGAAGTCGAACCAGTAAAAGCAACACTTGCGGCGTTCAAGGAGATGGCTCGCTATGTTCCAGCCTTTGTATCAACGTTAGTGTTACACTACCACTAATCGTTTGCAGCTGGATGCTAGTAACTATTGTGTATCAAACACAGCACATTCACGCAAACTAATGAAATGAATGAGAGCAGGATGCGATCGAGCTCGCGCTGTACCAGCAGCATCAAAACACGTTTAGGCTACTGCAGAACAATTCAGCTGCGGTTGCTACTCACATGTTTGGCAATGATTGCAATACGAGACGAGACAGATGAAGGATGCGAACAGCAGTCCACGGCGGATCGGACTTGGCGGTCGGCGTGCTGGTCGTTTTTGATGCTTACTCTAGTGGTAAGACTAAGAAAAGGCGAATTGCGTGAAAATATAACAATAAAGCCAATTGTTTTTTCCCCGTAACGCCCCCTTGCTGCGGCACGGGCCTCTCGTTGACATTTCCCGACCACCAGGGTGAGAGTTCAGGCAGACAACGAGGGCTGCTGGAGCGACAAGAAGGTAGAATATGCTGGAGGACCAGAAGATGAGGTGTGAATGTGTTTGAGCATCACACGATGACGTGTTGGCAGCAGCTCTATTTAAATCCACCTTACTGTAATTTAAGACAGACAAATCCAATTCCCATTGGTTTAATGCGTACGGCATTCTCGCGAACAGGTGTTTTACGATTAGGGAAATGGCTAAAACTTTATTTCTAAATCGTCTGTAACTGTGCTATGTTCATTTCTTAGGTTATGAGCAACTGTTAAAGAGTTTATTGAAAAAGAATAGAAATTCAGCTGCATGAATGTGGAAAACGTTTAACTCAAAAGCCATTTGTACAGTATGTGAGCCAATGTAAAAAATAAGCATGCACTAGGTGGTATAAAAAGAGAAATCTTTTTAACACTTAGCTTTTAGAAACTGCATTTTTATATTCATCTGTTTCATACATTAAAAAAAAAATACCAAAAATATTTTGTGCTAAAATAGGCTATTGCACTATGAATCATCTTTGATTCTTTTTCACAAAAAGGTCATATGTGACCCTGGACCACAAAACTAGTCATAAGGGTAAATCTTTTGAAATTGATATTTATACGTCATCTGAAAGCTGAATAAATAAGCTTTCCATTGATTTTTTAGGATGGGACAATATTTGGCTGAGATACAACTATTTGAAAATCTGGAATCTGAGGGTGCAAAAAAAAAAATCGCCTTTAAAGTTGTCCAAATGAAGTTCTTAGAAAAAAAAAATCTAAATATTGAGAAAATCATCTTTAAAGTTGTCCAAATGAAGTTCTTAGAAATGCATATTACCAAATCAAAAATTAAGTTTTGGTATATTTACGGTAGGAAATTTACTAAATATCTTCATGGAACATGATCTTTACTTAATTTCCTAATGATTTTGGGCATAAAAGAAAAATTGATAATTTTGACCCATACAATGTATTGTTGGCTATTGCTACCCGTGCTACTTATGACTGGTTTTGTGGTCCAGGGTCACATATATCTGATATTTAAAAATATTTTCTGAGTGACCGCTTAAATGTTTTCTTATTTATGGTAAAGTAACCTGAGGTTGTACGTCAGTGTTATGGCATATCTTTTTCAACCTCAGATCATTGTTTACTGAGGCTGATAATATACAATTATGAAATGAATCCTGACTGTAAATCTTTCTCAGACACAGCATACAACTACAGTAAATGGATACATCAGCTTCATGTATCAATTACATGTCTGTCAGCCTGTAAAGGGCAACAACAACTGCAAGTTTGATCAAATTGAAGTAGTTAGAGGCATATCAGTGGGATAGAATAAGTTTGTTTTACATGGAACGCGATCCCTCATTGTGGCAACCATGTTAGGATCACATGATTTCACAATCCAATCCATTTCCGATATACTAAATCAGTCTCACATTATGGAAGTAAAATGTGTTGTGAATGGCAATTCACATTGACTTTCTTGTTCAAGTGCACGATAATGAAAATTTATGGATCGCCCGTTTCAGGGATTTAACCTGCAACCTCTACGTAACAATGCTTTTTCTTCCCAGAAAGTGTGATATCCAGCATTTTGAATTCAACTAGCTCAAAGCATATATGACATTTTTGACTGAAAATCCCCAGATGACCACAGACAATATAGGGAAACGTTCCAGACTTTTAATTTGCAAATAGCATTGCTTTAATCATAAGAAACAGTGCTTTCGTCTGAGAAGATAACACTATAAAAAGTAGTGAAAAAGTCTTCAACATATTCATTAGAGTCCAGTTGAGGCTTAGCATGTGGAGGCTCAAAGAGCTCCAAATTATCAAGCATGGCAGAACTTTCGTCGGCAGCAGAAGAGGAGTCATTGTCAAAGAAAATAGCCCTCTTTCTCTTTCTTGAGCCTGTAACATAAGACAGAAGTTCCTCAGAATCAAAGGCTGCAGCTTCCATGTTGTGGCTAGTGATGACATCAGAACTGAGCGGGAGCTTGTCCTTGTCCTCTTCTTGCTCTATGATGGCATCAATCTCAGTCTGTTCATTGTATGCATCAACAGAGAGGCCTAGTATTTCAAAGATATCCTCATTTGCATGAGGAGAAGGTGTTGAGAAATCCAAATTCTCAAGAAGCTCCTCAAACGTATTGTGAGGCGCAGAGGAGGATGGATTCTTCATGTTGCTGCTGTCATCAGCTCTGTTTGTCTCATCCACATTAATGCCAAGATTCTTCACATTATCCTTTAAGCTGGCAGGCCAGAAGGGCTGTGGAAGGTTGTAAACACCTAATAATTTCAGTGGACCAAGCTCCTGTAGATTTGGGGGATCCCAGATCAAATCTAAAAATAAAAAACATAATAAGCAACCCAGTATCTTTTTAACCTTTGTGCTGATAAACTACATCGGTGTGATATTTTTGTTGAGAAGTTACTTTCAGGTGTGATGACACCAGATGGGGTCTCAATTGCGTCAGATCTTGGAAGGGTCAAATTGTGGCTGTTAGATGGCACCTCTGCTCTGTACTCCTGTGAGGGAGGAGGTGGAGATAGTGGGCATGGAGGTGCCATGAAGTCATTTTCTTTCATGGCGAGTCCTTAAAAATGACACAATGCCATTTAATTTAAACATGCAAAAATCATTGAGTGAGATTTAAATTATCAATGTAGATACATTGAAGAAACATGTTATTCAAAAAAATTAAAGTTATTAATAATCATAATTCATATAAGATCCACTTTGGATGAATGATTGAAAAAGAAGTGATAATTAGCCTACTAAATAACTTATTATTTATTTCATAATTAATTAATACAGATAGTTGTTTTGAACTAAGGGGCCACTTGCTGATAATTCATTTGATTTAAATCAGCCAGTTCAAGCAGGAAATCATGTCCTCTTACCATTATTCTGGCATATTTGAGGTGGTGGAGAGCAAGAAGGCTGCTCGTTCCCTGGCTTGGGCTGGGAGCAGTCGTAGGAATTCATTGAAAAGTATATATTTGTGAAAAAATTTGCTCTCTCATATCAGAAAAACACATGTGCTCATTTGAAATTGTTAGCAGCCCAGTTAGCCCTCAATATTCTCATCGGCTATTAGTATGTTGAAACGTTCCTTTTATGATATCATAGTTGCTAGTTAAATGGTTGCATACACTCTCTTAGAAAAGTTCAAAAACAAACAAAAATTTAGAAAAATACAATGCAGATATACAGTATAGAGACAATATACAGAGTACAATTGCCAAAAGTTTTTTAATTATTGCATGTTCAACATTTTTAAAATGTTATCTTAAATATTTTTTTTTAATGTTTTGCATAAACCATTTTAAGGAGTTATAATAATAATAATAATTATGCTAAAAATATCTTTATGTCAGCTGTAGCTAAATGCATACACAGTTTCATTTCATAAAAAAAAAATTAAATATAAAATTCCATACTCAATCATGAGGGTAAACCAAGGAATAAGTGTGTTTTCTGAGATTGGTTGACTGCAAACATCCATCTAATTTAAATTTAATTAACTGAAATTGCTTTCACAATCACATAATCACATAGCATAAATTATAAAGCCATTTGGTTTTTATTTATTAAGCTTTTCATTATTATTATTTATTAATTAATTTTTTTACATATTTGACCACATCCAAATTCATAATTAATTAATTTACAATAAAAAATGCAGTCAAAAACAAAAAATGTACATTTAATTCAATTAATTTCTTACTTTTATATAACACTGTATTGCAATTGCATTTTAAGGGTAAAAATTACATTAATAAACCAGTTTCAGATACAGAGGAGTTTGCATAACCATGCTAAAACAATAACTGAGGAAATGTCAATTGTGATACACAGTAGCCCTATTGTGCATATTTTCATAAAATAGTGTTTTGAATGAATCACTATAATAATAAGGCACTGCAAATTTCTAATAGCTAGTGTGTACATTATATGTTACATGTCTACAGGTAAAAAAATGGTTTGGGGAAGGTTTTAAAAACAAATAGCCTACTGTATCTCTCATAGAAACAGTCTATTAAACACATGTAAGTATCCTACAGAGGGAGTCATGTTTATGGTCTGTAGTCTACATTCTGCATGTTTACACGTTTCCTTGGTGCTCTTACCAGACAAAACCAGGAAATATAAATTTTCCATGAGATCTTCGTCTTCATTTGCATATAATATTCACACCTGGACATTATTCAGTAAATCTATACATACACACATTACACAACATGTATTTATATATTTATTGTGAGTGACAGGGTTTTGTTGTCGTCTCTGAGGCAGTAAATGGTTCGTCATAGATTTTGGCAGCTCTCTTAGTCAATTGATATTTGACACATAATATCGTCAAAGCTAATTTTCAAAACTGACATGTGTTTCTGTTCCAGCGCAGCGCCGCGATGATCTTCTTGAACACAGCAGATTCAAGCATTACTATGCTGAGTGATCGTTTCACAACACTAGGAAGAAGCGGCAGATGTTTACATGCCTCTCTCTAGTGGCCAGCGTTTCAGTTGTATTGCTTCTACACGAGAGCAGCCTATCCTTCTTGCACGCCCACTGCCTGTTACACAAACTTATATCATGATTTCAAGATCACTCCGGTCTTGAAGGCCATCGAGACGTCTCTCTTTACATAACATCGAACAGCGCTTCAACCTGTCAATTCAGGTAAAGACAACAGCGTTGTTATTTAGTACATCACTAATTTCTCTTATTAGTCCGTCGTTTGAATTTGTGAACAAAACTCCACCCTTTTCATAGCGCGTGTTAAATAATGTTCTGCTGAGCGCGTGACTAACATTATGCAAACCCGTCTTGCTGTTTAACATTATTTGCACGAAAAAAAAATCTATGTGGGTCTTTGCGACTTTCTCATCACTATCTTGTATAAAACAAACACAGTTTTGTGAGTCGTACTGTACGTGCGTGAAGTCGTTCCCACAGTAGGACCAACTGAACTGGCAATGAACCAAAACGTTCTTGTTTTAAATCATTCATTCTTAATAAATTATTGGAAGTTCAAACTATTTAATTTAAAACGGACAACTTTTCGATCGTGTACGATAGCATGTTTAATAATAAAAAATGACAAAATATGTATTTGGACAGCAGTTCAACTTTACTGATAAAATCTACGTTTACTATTTTTTATCATATTAGTTTGTTGTACTAGTTTACCTAACAGCTATAGCATACTATTATCATATTTTACTGATATTTTGTATTTATATGTGAGAGTACTTGCATCAAGCTAATGTTGTACGATTGCATTTATTGCAGAGAAGGCTGTTGTCCTAATTTTAATTACTGCAAATGAGCCCTGAGCTACTGTTGGCCTCCTTGTCTCACATTCTGTGGAGATAAGTTGTCAAACTTGAAAGTTATACAGACAAGAAGGGTGCAGAGCAATTACTCTAAAACAAATGTGTTGCATATTGTACACAGGCAAACCTTAATTTGTCATTTTGCATTGAAAGGATGTGGATTCCTAGGAGGTGAAGACCTGGTACACCACGCTCAACAAGCCCTCATGGAGGCCACCTAACGCTGCCTTCCCAATAGTGTGGACCACTCTACACTGGCATGGGGTTTGTTTAAACACTTCCCACTTACTAAAGTATATATCTGGCACTTATGCATTTAGTAACTTTGAAGGAAGTTGTAGTTAGGTTTAAAAGTTAATGAGTAACTAAAGGTACCTCCAGACAGTGTAAATGATTTTCTCTTTTTTTAAAGCTACGGTTCATACCTTGTGTGGAAAGAGCTTGGAGGCTTCACACAGAATTCACTGGTACCACTGGGGCTCTATGGGATGCAGTTGGCGCTTAATTGGGCCTGGACCCCCATCTTCTTTGGCACTCACAACATTAAACTGGTGGGATGTTATAATGAGTTTCAAAAATCCTACTGTTATTTCAGTTAAAGGGGTGGTTCACTGGGTTTTTTCTAGACTTGACTGTGTTTATGGGGTATAGACACTAACGTTAAAAAAGTGAAATCGCAATGAACCACCCCTTTAAGAGGTAAACCAGGAACCAGTTTCTCTGCATATGGTCGTGAGATAGTATCAGAGATTTTTGTGAAAACTCATTTACTCACCCTAATGTTATTCCAAACCTGTATGCATTTCTTTCTTCTGATGAACACACAAAGATATTTTGAAGAATGTTACCAAAGAATTTCGTTTCCCATTGACTTCCACTGTATTGTTTTTTGTACCTACATTGAAAGTCAACGTTTATATAATATCTTATATGGTTAAATATAGTGGTGTTCTGTTCTTCTTTCATATCCAGGCAATGATAGAGATAGTGATGCTGACTGGCACAGTGGCAGCCACAATGGTGTCTTGGTATCCCATTAGCCGCACTGCAACACTTCTCATGGTACCATACTTGGCCTGGCTCTGCCTAGCTACCAGCCTCAACTACTGCATTTGGAGAGACAATCCAGATCCCAAAAAAGATGACTAAGAGTCCAATAAAACGAACACTATTCTATTTAACACTGACTAGAACAAAAATACAACCATGTTTTTTTTTATTTTGCTTGTTGGCCATTTTGAAGTATAATAATGAAGAATTTAGTTTATTTTTTATCTTCACTTTAAATTTTGTAATATCAGAAAAATTCACATTGTGTCTTAATTATAAAAGAAGGAAAGGCAATAAAATGAGAATGTTCTAATGCTTCCATTATATAAACTCAGTCCATCAGATCACTTAAGTTCAGCATTTTACACAGATCACTTTACAGGCTCTTTTGCTTGCTTCCTTGCCTATTTTTTACTAATAAAAATGTTTTCATGACTTGGTTTCTTGGAAGGAAATTAGTTAAAACATTGTACATGGATTGTTTTTCAAACACCATGCTCTGGCCTTAAACCTGTGTGGCTTTGCAAGGGTGGTGGTTTGGCAAAGTTTTTATCATCTAGCTATCTTTTGTGAACATATTGTATGTCATGGCACAGACCATATTATCAATATCTGCCAGGAAATTCCCCAGTGTGCATTAGCTTTACGTTATATGACTTTTCTGTGCAACTTTATATTACTCAACTGCACTTCAGCAGTTATTCCATCATAACCCTAAATTATTTTTTTAAATAACAAACATTATAATTATTATAAATGATAAAAATCTTATTTTATACTTTAATCACCACACTAACTTTAAAATGGTGCACGCAATCAACCAATAAAATGTTCACAAGAATATATTAGGAATAAATACATGTATAACCCTCAAAGAAGCTGAAACCCTTCTTTTTTTTACTTTTAAATAACCATCTCTTCAAAATACACCCATCTAGAAAAATATATATAGTCTTAATGATAATAAAATGAAGGGTGTAAAAACAGTATACATATGAGCAAAAACCATAAAGAACGTACATAAATCAGCATGGCTTTTATCCAGTGAAATCAAAACAAGAGAGATACTGTACTGTTATACGGGAAATACAAAAAGTATTTATCTGCATTATGGATTCAAGAGAAAGAATATGCTATAAAACTGAAAAGTAATATTCTGTAAAACTGAATATTGTTTTTACTTAATTATCACATTTCTCCAACTTTAACACAGCTATCCAGAAACCATTAGTTTTACTTCTTGGAAGTGTCTGTTCATCTATCAACATGAAGAGGGCTACAGCTGTTAGAAGTCAAGATTTAGATAGACACCGTAATTGTTTTATTTGAAAAGGTGCAAAGGGGAATAAATAAGATCTGTGCAGTATGATGATTATTTTTCAGCTTTTTCGGGGGTTCCATCTTCAGGTTTGGAGGAGAAGCGATCCATTAGTGTCTTCCACAATCCTTTCTTCTCCTCATCTGTGTGCTGCATGTTTCCTGCAAAACAAAGAAATTACAAAAAGTAAAATGCGGTTTCTTTTTCCTTTCTATTAATCAAAGGATCCTGAAAAAAAATTTACCACTGTTTCCACAAACTGTTTTGATAAGAAGAAATATAATATGCCAAATCAGCATATTGGAATAATTTTATGTGATGTGTAATGAGTAATGGCTGCTGAGAATTCAGCTTTGCCATCATAAGAATACATTTGAAAACAGTTATTTTAACATATTTTTCATCAAATAAATGCAGCATTGGTGAACATACGAATTAAACTCAAGAAATCCTCACCTGTTGCCAATAGCATTCGGCACTCTTCTACTGTTACACCTGTAAAACTTGTATCTTTTGCCCGTGGAAACTGAACACAAACAAACCAAAACATTATGATGCTGTCACATTATGAGGCTTAGGTCAATCGAATTAATGAAACGAAAGGCATTTTATTAAAAACATAAAAAATGTGAGGATAGGCGTTTAAACAGAATAAATCCAAATGAGCTCATACTATTTTATTCCCCACAGAATATGCAAGCTATGCATCTCTTTCAAAGACAATAAAAATAATAAAACACAACATTTCCAAAAAATACAGGTCAGTTCAAATAAATCTAATGATAATTTAATTATGCTCTGTCATGTGGATGTCTCTGTTATCCATAAATGTTTAGACCTAGAATCATTTAGAAAATGTGGCTCACCTTTTCTTTGTACACATTACTGTTGATGCGCGCCAGACTTTCATACATCTGATCACATTTCTCTGGATCTGAAATCTTAATTGAAACATAAGACAACGTAGTCAATGGTGCATTAGATATTTGTATTGTTGCATAAATTATTTTGAGAAAGGACGTTTACAAGAAAACATAACACATTTTATTTATTAATATTAATAATATTCTTATTATTATTATTATTGTGGTAATGAAGCTTCCAGTGTACACATAGGGATGTGCGATATTGACAAAAAATGATATCTCGAAATGTATGCGTGCGCTCTGTAGGGATGTTTTGAATGGTTTTTGCAAAATACTCGGTAATGTCAAATCGCACATCGTTAAAACAACAATTACGATATTATCGCAGACGACATATATCGCACACCCCTATGTACACATATAAATTCAAGACACTCAATGGAAACTTTATTGTAAAAACTAACATATCCAAATAAATAACATGTTTGTGACTATCTATTGAAAGCATTAATACACAATATGAAAGATGACATTTGACTTGTCTAACAACTTGCAATGCAACACGGGTAACTCGTGCAGTAATTCACTCAAGTAAAAACAATACCTGTGTATTCTCGCCTTCTCGGAAAGCACTAGCGACTCTTTGGCGTAAAAATGTTCCTAAATCTCGCCCTTTCTTTGACTCGTCCTTTGGCCATTCCTCGCATAGCTTTAGAAATCGACGGTATCTGGTGGCAGCCATGTTTTAAGCGCAGGAATTGTAGGTGGTGTATTTCACAACTGCGCTGTGTTGAAAATCTGTAAGCCGTGGAGGGTCAAACGCTACGGCGTTTCAAAATTGATTACTTAACACAGGAAACCGCCTGTCTGTCAATACGGTTTGTTCCAGTTGAGGATCCGTAGCGCGACACTGTTAACCTCGTGGTTTGCCGTAGAAATTTCAAGGTAATATCAAAGAGCCTCTGGCTTGCTTGGCTAATACAGATTTATCCACAAATAAAATGAGCGGAAAGAAAACAGATGGGCGATCAGGTGGTGTCATGGGATGGATAAGCTCAGCTTGCCGTTTCGCGGCGGACAGAAATGATTTCAGAAGGTTTGTTGTTTTAAATGTACGAAGCTTAAAAACGACGCGAACATTGCTGTTGCGTGCAACTCGTATACTCGAAATCATATTCAAATGTATAATTTTAAATATTTGCCAGCATGTGACCATCTCCTTTGTTTTATTGTTGTAGGAATCTGCTTGTAAACCTGGGTTTATTCGCAACGGGTGTTTGGGTCGCAAGAAACCTTTCAGATTTTGACTTGATGTCTCCTCAGCCAGTCACGTAGTTCCCACTCCGCAAAAAATTACTTTAACAGGTGAAATAACAAATCTTGAAAGCATTGTTCACCCCTAAACCTCTAAAATAGATCGGAGTCTTAACTCCTTCATTTTGTCCTTTCATGATAGGTGGTGCTGAAATAGAAGAACACACATTTTCTACCGAGGGTCTTGTTGAACAAGCCCATTCAACACTGAAGGGAATAAGTCTAAGCAATTGGATGATCACAACTGTAAATTTCTTCTGTACATTCATTGTGTTTTGTTGAAATAAATCTCACGCTGAATCAGTTGCTTACAGTCTTTTATTTAAGAATATACATATTTAAACTATATAAAAAAAAATAAAACGTCCACTACAGTTAGTATTTACGAACACTTCATGGTGCCCATTTCTTTAAGAGCATCCTCCTTTGTTGCATTTCCACACTTGTGGTTCCCTATTTTGAAGAGAAAACTTTCATCCAGGTCTCTTTTTCTAATCTGAGAACACACAATTACCATTTTAGAGTTTAGCTTTCATAGGAATTTAAAATTGGCAAACAAAATCTTCACTCAAGATGAATACTTGCATTACACAATATATTGTATTGCCAAGACAAGCAAGTCACCTCGTGTGTGCAGCCAGTATCAGGGCAGTGGAAGATCTACTGTGGTTCTTAGTCAGACAGAGCAGGAAGGATTCAGGAGCTAATCCCAAAATCGTTGTTTTGATTTCCTCCACACGCACATTATCAGGAAATAGTGCATGGTCCTGCACAACAAACCTGTGTCCACTGAGTGGAGTATGAAAAACAATATAATACACCAAAAATAGGTAATTGTAAGTTCTGAAAGCTAGATGCTCAGTAAAATAAGATCTTCTAATAGACCATACCTTTTAACAGAGAGGAGCAGAAGATCATTGAAAAGGTGTATGTACACATCTTTGCGAGAGACTATAGAGACTTTGTGACTGCCACCAACAATTAGATGCTTCAAAGTTCCTTCTTGAATCAAATGTCGCCCTCTGGTGATTAATGGAATGGACTGATTGAGAACAGAAAGAAAAGTGGATTAAAAATATGAAGGCAAAAAAATAGGAATTACATTAAGATATTTTATACCTTAACGTTTCCAAAGTCCACTAACTTGTCCAAACAAACAAGCAGCTCTGTCCTCTTCATTTGTTGGACACTTCTGTCACACTCTTCCACGATCTATACATTTAGATGCATTCATTTGTAAGGTAACATGATTTACATGTAATACTGATCAGCATGCAATAGTATCCAATTCGGATCATTTTTTATTCAATTATTATATGGGGGGCATTTACTATTTTGAAAGCAAAAGCATGATAAAGCCTACCTTACGTACAACTTCAATGGCTTCCGTCAGATTACGGACATTAGAACAAACACCTTTAGATCGCTTGAGGATGTTCTAAATCAAATAGCATAAAATGTTCATGTTCACTAAACAATGATAACAGGAAGTTCTCTGAAGAGTCTGCACATCTCTCTGGCCTGTATAAAGGAAAGCCAACCTCAAGTAAGAGTGTCATTCTTGTGATCCTCTGGAAGGGAAGAATCAGGAAAGACTTGAGCGTTTGTCTCTGGCATTGTGGACCTTTCTCTAGTTTCTTCAGGATCAGTGCAAATTTCTTATTTCCCTGCCTGGTGTAAAATGGTAATTAGAACGCAAACATGCCATAAAATTAAATTGATATGCTCAATATGGAAGATACATGAAAGCAGGACAAACAGCAGCTGAGTGATGAGAGCCTCCTGGTACATCATGTTGGTGATATACGGCACATAGACTTTTTGGAAGCCTTGCTGGTGATTCAAAACAATATCACCAACCTGTGACATCACCACATGCTGCCCAAGATGGGACTCCATGTCCTGCAGAAACCTAAACCAAAATAAAGTAATTAGTTATTATATATATAGCCATGAAGACTGCATTATTAAAAACAGTAATGTTGTTTAATATTATTAAAATTATAAATAACATTCCTGCTTAAATGTTTTTAATGCGTTTTAAATGTAATTTATTCTAGTAATGGCAAAGCTAAATGTTGAGCAGCCATTATTCCAGTCTTCTGTGTCAAGTTCTAATATGCTGATTTAGTGCTCGAGAAACATTTATCATCAATGTTAATAGTTTTGTGAAAACCATGATACAATTTTATATATATATATTTTTTTTTTTTTGATGAATAAAGAGTTTACAAATGTAGCATTTATTTGAAATCGAAATCTTTTGTAACATTATAAATGTCTTTACTGTAACTTCATCAATTTAATACATTCTTGCTGAATAAAAGTACTCATTTTAAATAAATTAACTACTGACTCCAAATCTTTGAATGGTAATGCATTTATATAATTATAGAAATTCATATATTTGAAATAAATACTGTTCATATAAATTATTTTTAACAATAATTCCTAAACTTATATTAAGTGAAGGCAGCCCAATACATCTTTCACAGTCAAAATTCTATTGTATAGTATTGTATAGCATTGTATTGTATATTCAAGTATTTTATCCATACTGTTCACTGATTCTGCAGACATCCTTTAGGTTGGAGAACAGAACATGATGCTGCACACGGGACAGGATCTGTTTGAGTTCTGCTGAGCACTGAAACACATTCAGTGCTACTATCAGACTCTTCTGATACGAGGCCTCTGACACAATCAGCTCAAACATGGCCTAGACCGAGAGCACAAAAACAGAGGGATAAGTATTGTGGAATAACAGTAGACATCAGACCAAGGTCATGTTTTGCAAGCATGCACAGCAGACTTGTTAGTCTCCTGCAAGACACACCTCCTGAAGCTGGATCTCATGTGCACTGAGGGAGTTCAGCAGACTCTTTACTTGCGGTAGCTCCTGCCACAGAGCGTATGCCTTAGTCTGTAGTCCTGGTGGGCTCAACACAGCGGTCGGGCTTAAAGCAGGGGGAGTTTTCAGACCAGGAAGACGCATAGATGTCACCAATTCTGAAAGTCCGTTGTGCTGTGCTCTGTGTAAATCCTTCTTCAGAGAGTTCATCCAATACTCCTGATACAAAGGGACCGCTAGGAAAACAAAATTTGAGCAGATAAAAGAAATAGGAAATATATAAGCAAAATATGCATGTGCTTTTTGTTGAGCATCATATGAGATACATCAGGCTTTTTTGGCTAATGGCAGATGAAATTTTGATAGTAATGCAAATCAATGAAATCTTTATAACAGTATAGCAGACTGCTTTCATTTATCTACTAATCATGTCTTAGTAAGATGATATTTTAATGCTTTTATGATCAAAGCACTGTAGTTTTAATTGTGGGGGGCAAAACATAATCGAACACGATGATTTAGAGATGAATTTTAACATGATTTTTCTATAAAAACGTATTATGGATAATCAAGTATACCTAAGTTGCTTCAGTCCAGTAAGTCTTCATCTCGAAATATTACTAACAACATAAAAGTTACTCTCATGTTCTTTATAAAAAAATTTGTAGATTACACGGCAAAGAAAAAAAAAAAAAAAAAAGTGTATCAAAACCTGAAAAAGGCATTTTATTTGTTAAAAAAAAAAAAAAAAAAGCATAAACTATCAATCAGACAACACAAGGCATGTAGTGAACTGTGTTCATCAGTTTTTTAGCAAAGTTTCAATCATGATAATTTAAAAGTCTAATTTAAAATTTGCGTATCAAATATTACACAGTGGCCTTAAGGTTAAGCAAGTTATCATTTTTTCTGTCTTTCTATGGATAAAATGTGACCCGTGAAATACAGAATCTGGTCGACCGTTTTGGTGAGATTCTTCTGTAAACTAGGGCTGTTCGATTCCGAAATTTTTGGAATCGAGTCCAATTCCGATTCCTGGTTCTGGAATCGATTCCAAGGATCGACTCCTCACTGTTGTTTTCGATTCTTGTTTTTTTTTTTAGATTGAAGGAACCTATAATCTTACCATGACTGCAGGATAAAGGTCGTAGAAAGTATCCTTCTCATAATATGAAGCTTTATTTGTGAAAAAAAATGACTATACATAAATTGTAATTTTGTCTGCTTTACCCGTGAAATTAGTCATAGCCCACAGCTCAACAGGGACATGCGTTTATCGCATGAATTTTGAACAAGACATGAAGCGTCTAATAAATGTGCACAGTTCAGCTGAATGATGAAGTTTACTTTGACTGTAGGCCTATACTTTGCACAAAATTAACAAGCTGTACACTGAAACAAAATAACCAGAACATTAACAATTACTGATAGAGCTCGTGGTATATATCTATCAGATGCGCTCTCGGCCACTGATCTATGCTCGTGACGTTTTCTTTTATAATTATCATTGACTGATAGAAATGTTTTTAAAAAAATAGTATTTTAGATGGTAATAAGATCAAGACCCTCGATGACGTCATGATCTATTCTGTCGTGCAGCGCTCAAAA